CCCTAACCCTAACCCTAACCCTAACCCTAACCCTAACCCTAACCCTAACCCTAACCCTAACCCTAACCCTAAACTTAAAGCTTCGTCTCGTATTGTCTTTCGTTATTGTAAAACTCGTTTAATCTTAACGTAAAAAAGCGTACCGGAATAAGCTTTATAAGTCGTAATCCTTTAGCCTTTTACACTTCGCGTTCAAGAAGTCTTTTATTATTGCTCGAGCCGTAATCTTATTATCGGGCTTTGCGTATAGTAGTTCGTTTAAGTCAAATAAGATGCCCGACATCTCGTCGTCTAGTCTTTTCGAAAGGCTTAAGAGTCTTAAGTATAATAGTCTTTTTAGCTGAATAGCTAAGGGTTCCGTAAATAGTGATAAGACTCGAAAGGTATAATATCTTACTGCTCTTTGTCGGCTAGACTCTTTACTTAAAGGTCTAGTTGCTCGATCGGTTATAATAGTTGTTTTCTCGTACGTAGATCGATCGTATTAATTAAGTTTGCTATATATAGCAAGCGCGGCTCTACAGCTTTAAAGGTTGTATAAAAGTGACTTGGTTCGGAATCACTCTTCCGTAAGAATAGAGGAAAATCGGTAGTATAAGAAGCGACTTGGTACGGAATCGCTCTTCCGTTGTAGAAAGAAAGAGGTATCGTAGTAAAAGGTATCCTCGCTATAAAGTCTTAGCTTCTTTGTGATTGATCACTTAATAGTAATTCAATTATTGATCAGTGTTGGATTGCTTCTAAGCGATTAAGAATATGTTCGTAACTTCGTAAGGTCGTCAAAGTACTTGCAATTGCAAAACACTCGGTTGATAAAGTATTTGAATTCTGTCTGCTTCTTAAGGCTCAAGGGAGCTGATTCCTTCTATAAGATTAGAAGGAATCACGTGCACTAGCTAACTAATAGGTTTACTTGTCAAGTTGGAGGGGGTCCCTTGACTGTTGGCATGCTAAGCGAGGCATGCCAAGTGGCCCGTGAACCATGGTTCACGAGTGAGCTTCCCCAACTACTACTACTACTACTACTAGCTAGCTAAGG